TGAAATTCAAATGTTTCAATAATTTGATTTATTTTATTTTTATAAAGGGGATGTTTCAGTAATTGTTTAATTTGCAACAAATATATACATTTCAAGAACTCTATTTCATATGTTTTATTAGAACTATTGGGAGAAAGAGAAGCGTAGATCGGAAGATCGACGGTGGATGAGAGATCTCGGGATTACGAGATCGAGTTGAATATATTTCCTTATTATTATTAGGAAGGTTAACATTTGTGTATATCTTCTTATTGTTAAATAGGTAGATTTACTATTATCATAAATGTAAAGAACTTGCTATGCAAGTAATATCTTACAGAAGACAAGAAATGGTTCTTACAGAAGCTGAGATATTAAAGCCGAATTGGATCGTCTCATGGAAGCACCGGAAGTAGATGAGAGCAAGTGAAGGTAAATGTTCGTTTTGATATATTCTTGCAACTTTTAGTAATGTTTTCTATGTAGAAAACATTAATCAAATCTTTGTAAAATCTAGAATTTGGAGAAGAGAATGATTGAGGTCATTAAAACAAACCAAGGAGTTATAGATCCCAAGTATATGAAGACAATTGAATACCTAAAGATGGATAAACGACTCCAACCTATGATCAAAGGTACAAGAACTTCTATTGTGGAGAAGAAGGCTTCCTCCTAGCTCATCTATCATAGTTGATTTTCTCAGATGATAAGGAAAAGAAGAATTAGTAGTATAATTAATAAATATGACCATCATATCAAATCATAATCATGGAATAATCTCTTACTTTAAAGCTTTTATCGAATAACTTAGGGTTTATTGTAGTACTTGTTCGTACGTAAAAGGATTCTCATAATTAATTACTTGTCTATATAACAAACGATCTAATTCTCAAGCTTTTCTCTTGATTGTTTCGATTAAAATTTTGATAGGTTTATGGCTTGTTTAATTCGCCCTATGAAATTTATTTAAATTTATACATAAATCCAGTCGAAATATTTAAAATCAAAAACTAAATTTACTTTCCCTTTCTCAACTAATTCTGATATTTTTATAATAAATTTCAATTCAAATGAAAACTTGGATAATGGATCAAATACAAATAGTTCGAATACCTAAAATCACTTGGCCAAGTTTCACTAATTTCGTTTAGAATCATCTACGGGTATGGATCCGGGTCGGATAATCCATCTCACCAAAGAGTCAGTCTCTCTGGTCTTTTGTACCCGAACAGTCAAAATAGCACCAAATTAAAAATACAGACGCGCCGCCGCACGAGAAAATCTCCGGCCACTTTAATGGATTCCGTTTGCAAAACAGACGAGAAAATCGCCGCTCTTCTTTCTCCGCTTCCAACTCTCCAACAGCAGGCAAAATCCCTCTCCCTCTCTCTCTCTAAATAAGCATGCTTTGAAGCTAATCTCCATGGAAACTTATAGTAACTGAGCTCGATTCCGGTTTGTTCAGGAATATTTCAACAAGCTTATAACTAGTAGAAGATGCAATGGCATCGAAGTGAAACTAAATGAAACCATTGGAAAAGGTTAAGTTATTGCTTTATCTTTGTATAGATTTTGAGATTTCTCAATGGCTGCAATGTTGGTTTATAAAATTTTGATTTCTTCCAATTTGTTAGGTGTTTATGTAAATTCAGAGTTTCAAGAAGATGAACTCATTTTGAAAGATCAGATTCTTGTTGGTATCCAACATTCTTCCAACAAGGTGGATTGTTTGGTTTGTAGTTTTTGTTTCCGGTTCGTTGGATCGATCGAGAAACAAATCGGCCGGAAACTCTATTTTAAGAATCTCGGTGTTTCTGGTTGTTGTGACGGCGATTCATCTGAAAGCGGAGAAGATGAATGTGTGAAGTACAATGGAAATGAGGAACAATGTGGTGGAAGCAGTTCAAGCCATAATACTCTTCCGGAAGGAGTTGTTAGTTCTTTGATGAATGGCGAAATGGCATTGCCGTACACTGATATGTTTCCTTTGCCTTCGCCTCTTTCGTGTCCTGGAGGATGTCAGGAGGCTTTCTACTGTAGGTAATTGAGATTTGATGTCTTCGACTTTTGTTTTTTTGTTATTGGTTTTCATGTTTAAACTAATGTGCTGTTTCAATATGATATAGTGAATCATGCGCAGAGGCAGATTGGGAGAGTTCTCATTCTTTACTTTGCACTGGTGAGAAGTCTGAATCAAATTCTAGAGAGGCGCTTGGAGAGTTTATAAAACATGCTAATGGTAAAATTAGTCTCTTTGGGCTTTGAATGTTCTGTCTTGCAATAACGATGTTTATATCTTTTCAATTCTTAATTTTCAGATACAAATGATATTTTTCTCCTGGCTGCCAAGGTATACCTTGTATCACTTTTTATGTCTAATTGTTGAATATTTTAGATAAAATGCCATGGAACTTTCAACATATATTAGTTTACGGTGACTTATGGAGCTTACACAGTTTCGACTTATTCTTTTCTTTAGTATATAACCTTTCGCATACTAAATAATGAAGAGAAACTAACTAGTTATGGAAAATGTATTATGGCTAGGCGATTGCCTTTACCATTCTAAGGTACAGGAAACTGAAAGCAGAACATGTAGACAAAAAAGCAAAACAAAGTGAGCCAAAGCAGTCCCTACTCTTGGAGGCATGGAAACCAGTATCGATTGGATACAAAAGAAGGTATATACTGATGCTGCCATTAGAAATCACTTGCTTTTTCTTTCTCTATGTTTGAATGTGATCCAAATTACATACTGTAACTCATGATCATACATAATAGGCTTTTTGGTGATATATCTACGCCACATATAAATTATCTAAAACTCATTCTTTTTTTTCGGTAGGTGGTGGGACTGCATCGCATTGCCAGATGATGTTGATCTTTCTGATGAAGGAGCCTTCAGGATGCAGATAAAGAATCTTGCATGTACGGTATGTGTTTCAGTTGTATACATCATTTGTAGGTTGAGTTTGCTTGCCGCATTTTGTGTATAGATCACAATCGCAGTTGCATCAATTTCAAATCTTGACTGTTTTGCCAACTGAATTATATTGTTTTGTCTCCAGTCTTTGGAGCTCCTGAAGACAGCCATATTTGACAAAGAATGTGAAGCTCGTATCCCCCCTCTTCATTTTGATATATGATCTGTACCATCGTTTCCTTGTTTTATTTTTTACTCACAGAGGGTCATTCCTTGACACTGGAAAGTGTTCTCCCTCGAAATCTATGGGAATATCATCGGCATGTTTGAGCTGAATAACCTGTAAGAGTCGTCAATTCCTGTTTATATCCTTACAGTTACAATGAATTTACCCACTATATGTTTGATCTTTGGCAGAGACTTGGTGGTAGCATCACCAGTAGAGGACTATTTCTTGTATATTGACGATCTTCCTGATGCAGAAAAGGTCTGAACAGAATAACGCTTTCGACCCATTCTTATTGTTCTTTGACCAAAATCTATTGAATCTCACCAGTTTCTTATTCTCATTATCCTAGGAAGAAGCCGAGGAAATCACGAGACCGTTTCTAGATGCTCTTGGTGATGAATACTCGGACTGTTGCCAAGGTTAGAAATGAAAGGAACATTGTCACCATAAAACAGAGGAGTTGTGTAACTTGTAACCAAGATTTGACATAATTACATGATATGTATTTGTGTTTAGGAACGGCCTTCTTCCCTCTGCAGAGCTGTATGAACCATTCTTGTTGCCCTAATGCAAAAGCCTTCAAAAGAGAAGAGGTATCTTTCTTACATCTCGTCCTCTTTATGGTCTACACATCTCAAGGATTAAAGATTTTTCATCAACACTTTGGGACTGAACTCGATTCATCCATTTGGAACTCTTTTACTTGTGGCTTTTGCAGGACAAAGACGGACAAGCAGTTATTATTGCGTTAAGACGCATCAGCAAAAACGAAGAGGTAAGCATCTTCTCTCTAATTGTAGTGGCAATTGAATATTTTGGAAAAGAGAGCTTGTTTTTGAGTTCCATATGTAAAACCAGGTGACGATTTCATATATCGACGAGGAGCTTCCGTACAAAGAGAGACAAGCATTACTTGCAGACTATGGTTTCAGCTGCAAGTGCTCCAAGTGTCTGGAAGATTCTTCAGCAGTTTGAAGCCTAATTTTTTGTTTTCAAACAGAAATTTTCAATTTTGCCTATTATAGTGATTACTGGAACTCGCTACTGAAAAAAAAACGTATGGAGATATTCGTTTAGAATCAAGTTAGTTTTGGTTTTAGTCGGAGATGACTTTAAACTAGTTTCTCTACGCAACATTGAAACGATTAAAGAACATATTCGTTTGAAGATCAAGCTTTAGTTCTTTTTCAATATATATCTAAAGATGATGAACAAAAGCATGTACCGATTCTAATCATTGTTAATATTGCACCTAACAAACAGGCTATTTTTTTAGTGTTCAAAGTTTTGCGGTTATTATGATCAGACGGAATCATCGTCATTGGCTTTCTTCTGTTCCATCACATCAACGCTTACATCATCCTCGTCTCCCTGAACACAAAGCACACGAGTTTCGTGAGGATCATCATCTCCGAGTAATTACTTTCTGGCGAATTTATTGCCAACATAAGTTTTCGAGAATCCACTCATGCTTACCTGAACATGGGCATCTCTGAAAGGTGGGGGTGGAGGAAGAGATATGAGAGGAGAGCCTTTGGCTGCTTCGGGATTCTCTTCCTCAGATTCTGCATCATCATCAAATTCTCGAGCTGCCATGCTCGTAGACGATATTACCTGCAGCAACGTAACCATGTAACAAAGTCTATTATCCCCACTTCTAACAAAAACACATCTTCAACGTGAAATATCATCAAAGACTTAACTCGACCCCCAATGTCAATCTCCTTACAGTTCAAGTGAACACCATTTCTGCAGAAGAAGAAAGATGTCGTACCTTATCAGTAGATGAGGTGCCAATAGAGATCCTTCTTCTTTTCCAGTTGTCTTCCTTTGACGAGGACTTGTTAATTGTGTCTTCATCGTTCCAGGCTCCACTTTCTTCTTCAGAATATGATTTTGAAGAAACCATATTCCAACAAGGTCTCTTCTTCTCCTTCTCCACCTTCTCTTCTTCACCTCTTCCTATCAAGCCTGAAACAGATGGAGAAGGTTCATAACGTGTGTATGAACTGATTTTTAATTGAAACACAAATATAATAGTATATATAAGTTTACCATCTTCAACAGGTTCTTTCGTAGTATATTGATCCACATAATGCTTTTTCCTGGACAGTGAAGAAGTATTCTGCAACTCATTCTGTGGATCACAAGCAGCTCTCAAATTCCGACCATTATTTTCTTCATCACTCACAATATCCACGCCTGCATCCCTATTATTTCCTTCACTTCCAGCAAGATATGTACTAAGTTGGTTTCCCAATTTCTGAAGACGGGCTTCTGACCTATAGAGTTAACAAAGCATTGTGTTATTGAATGAATTTTTGCATTCTTAAATAAGAAGCAATTAGAAATAGAGATAAATGCCTTGCCTCTTTAGATCATCTTGTGCCCGCAAGAAACGGTTGTATTCTTTCACAAATTTCTTTGTGTTTGAAGTAATCCTGACATACAAGAGGATTAAACAACACTTATCACCAGAAGATCAAGTCCAGAATTTGCCACAACGATACTTCAGTATATCGCATCATAATTAATTTCAAGCAAACATCGAAAAGGAATTAGTCATTACCTCCTACATTCCTCTTTCTCTCTATCCAACTGAGTCTCAAGCTCATGGATCCTAGAGCTTAGAATGTCTACTTCGTGTGCCTTCCTTTCAACGGAAGCCTTTAGACAAATAAATGTGCCAAACATATCTGTCAATTAACTCGTATTTACAATGCAATCAAATTAATTGTGGAATGGAGAAACTTACCTCCAATCGTTGTTTGTCATCAGTAAGCATCTTAACATCCATCTCTACGTCTTTTAACTGCATATAGACAAATTGGACTTGGGTCCTTTAGCAACATCTTTACAAACGTTATCAACTAAACATTAGATTAAAATAAAACGACAATCACGTCCTCAACGAACACCCAACCAAGAAAATGAAAGTTTACCTGCTCCTCCAGAACATTATTGTAACCCTGAAACTTATTTCTTCCATCTTCTGCCCTGTCTTCAATTCTATTCCCAGCTTTCAAACCACCAGCATAATTACGTCGTTCATCAAATCTACGGTTCTCCCTGTACTCGTTATCTCTGTGATAATAAGAAATATAAAGCCGCATTGTTAAAGCATGGCCATCAAGTTACCACTGAAATTTCACATAGCATGAGTATAAGCAAAACCGAGGGGAGAAGATACCTTCGGTTCTCAAATGGCCTAGGATTGTCATGTCCTGAAAATTTGAATTCCGTCGGGAATAATCAGAAGAAAGAAATACAGAACGAGAAGTTGACAGAGAAATTTGATTCTGCCTAATTGACAACCAAACTCCAAAAACCCAAAGCTGCAGATCTTACCACTAAACCTTTGTACCCGTCTTCCACTTCTGTCTAAAGATGGTCTCCGCTCTGGAGAAAACTGTCTACCAAGTCTATCTCTTAAGTCACTATCCATATTGTGACGTCTGCCTGCAGTAGACGAAACAGACTTTGCAGTAAAGCATACTTGTGGTACAGATGTGAACTCCATTTCAAACAATCAGAATCATGCCAGTCAACAACACTTGGATAAGATCACAGAAAACTACAAGTAACATAAAGAAAAACGTAATGGTGCTTACTTGCCAGTTCAAAGAGACCACAAAATAATGTCCTCTTCTTACCAGCAGAAGGAGAAAAACCACATTTGGGCACTAAATTAGCAGAAGTCACTGTATTTCATCGATAAATAATAGGTTGAGATTCTTGAGAATGCTTCAGATTATATTGGACGAGAGAAAATAAGACCAATCTTGAAGATCCATTTAATTACACAATCAAAATCCACCAAAATTTGATGTTCAATTCCTTCTAACGAATCAAACCCCCATATACTGCATATTTCTTGATCCAAGAAACCGCTTGAAAGACCACTGAAGATATAACAATCATGGAAATACCACGTGCTCCATACACATAACTGGCAGCATGAAAATGCCAAAAGTCATAACAACAGGCATTGATAAATCCTAATAACAAGCATTGCTTGCCACCAAATCTTGGAGTCTGAGAACCATGGTTGTGGAAGAATAAGAAAACCAGCAGACTCCATTATAGATTATCTTCAAAAAGAATGTGGTTTCAAGAGCAATAAGAAAATCAATATAATTTTCACCACAAAAAAAACCCAGCAGATTCCACTCCAATAAGAAAACCAATATAAATTTCAGCCCGAAAGACCAGTAGATTCCACTCCCAGATAAAAACAATACTAAGCCTGAGAGTTGCTATCTTTCTGCATATTCCAGAATGATTCCGCAAGACAAAACTAGTCAGTAAAAGTTTATATGGAGAAAACCAAATCCAAAGCAAAGTATAATACTGATACCATTACCATGTGTTTATCAAACATAGCACAGTACGCTGAAACGTTTTAGACAATCTCATAAAATATAGAATAATAATCACAAAGCTCCGGGAGAAAAATACTTGACAAAATCATCAAAGTATAATATAAAACTCTAGGAAAGTCTACGCAAAGAGACCTAATCAACTAAAGACTTTTCTAATTTACACTAACCAAAAGAAATACTCATCGATCCTTCCACCAATAACAAACTTAAACCTGAATTTGAAATCAATAAGCCTATTCAAATGCATAAAACGAAATCATTACCAGTGAATGAAGATTCTCCAGGACGACGAAGCTCAGCATTTCCATGAGCAAAAGAACAATTCGGCCTCGAACAATCACCAGTCTTCTTAAACAGAATACAAAGCTTCGTCTTATACATACTCGACCCAGACATGATTAACCAACCAATTTACAACGAAACCTCTTTTCTTCAGATCAAAACTTCAAAAAGTCAAGCAAACCTCAAAAGTCAAGCAAACCTCCATAAACATAGATTAACACAAGCGTATCGTTCCTACATGAGAAACAGAAGCAACGCTTTAAAATGGAAATCTCTAGACTCTCACTGGAATTGGATTTTCTACGAATTTATAGAATCCATATAGGAGCAAGAAGATCAGTTATACATATCAATCATCAATTTCGAGCTATGTAAGACTCTGAGAAAATCGAAAACTACCATTGCGATTATATGCGGTGGTTCGTCTTCTCTATATGTTTTATCGTTGAAGCAGCACCTTCTTTTTCAATGGAAGCAAAACGGCAAGGAGGAGAAAACAAGTCGGACGAAAATGAACACACACACACAGGAAAAAAAACTAATAAAGCACAATTAGGGATCAATCCTTCGTATTTATATATTTTTAAGCAGAGAAATATATAAGTATAAAACAGAGCTGGAGTTTTAATATTTTGCCCTTTTGTATTAAAAGCTTTTAACGATATGTGAAGATTAGTTTTGTACATCAAACCTGATTTATTTAATTAGAGCTCTTAATAAGTAGTTTACTGAGTATTGATTTGTGCAACCTCTCCATATACGGATACAACATTTTACTAAAGAATCTGTAACATTTTATAAATCTATATATATGGAAACAGAAATGTTCTTATGGGAAAAAAGAAAGAAAAAAATCAAAGAGATGGAACATAATCTGACCACTAACAAAATATTTTTACTTAAATGGAGTATGAATATCTCCAAACAATTAATATAGGTAAATCTTATTTATTAATTTTGTCTTTTCTAAAAAATCATCAATCTTGTGTTTTTTATTTTAATCTTAGGAACAATAAATTACCATTTGTAAAAAACATTTTGGGAGATTAGAAGTATAGCAATAATTTTAATCTTAGGAACAATAAATTCCCTTAGTAATAGTATTGCCTTGTCATATATTTGTCTCCCATCATGTTGTTGATCGCAATTGTAACTTTTATATGGTTTATATAATATCCTTTAGACACAAAGCAATAGTTTAAAGATTGAAATTTGTGATTAGACTGATTTCACTTGAAATTACAATTTAGAACGTGAGAAATTCACAGGGAATATACCAAAAAACAAATGAGCAAAGGTTTTCGAACCAAGCGATACAAATAAGTCAATGAGGCCGATAAGCATAGGAAGAGCTCCACCTATCGCAATGTAGGATTGATCATGATTATCCAAAGTCTATCAATAAAACACCCATACTCGGAACCTCACATAAGATCATATATTTCAAAACAATTCCCTGCTGGTTTGAGCAAAACAAACCAATAAATAAAACACATTAAACCTTGATGATCACGTATTAACGAAAACATCTCACAGATGAAATAACTCTTTATCCAGAAACCAATGTTCCATTTTGACAACGATTTGGGTAGCTGCAGCTTTCCACATTACTGAAACGTAACCAAGCATTGTGAAACGTAACCAAGCATTGTCAAATGAAAATTGTCTCAAGAAACAACTCCACAATCTTCCAACAATTCTCAATCTCAAGATGGGACAAGTAAATCAAAAACTATCAAAAACTATATACGAAAAGCTGACGGTCAATGAAAAAATATGAGTGAATGTGAATATTTTTGGGATCAATATATGAAGTGATTACAGTTTCTGATTTGCAATCCATGAATTAAAACTGAACCAGTGTGAAATATATCGAATGATCATTATTAAATCCTACTTATCGACATCCAAACATCGTTAAAATCAACAAGGTCAAAACATCCAGCCACAAATCGGATGTAAAAAGAGCAAACTTGGTAGATAAAAACCACAAGTAGATGAACAAAATGTGCGAGGCATTTCCAGGATCAAGTAACATAGAAAAAAGCCAAATGATCAGGATATACCACAAATAATCTTGCGTCAATGCCATTATACCTAAAGGAACCATTTTTAATCCTTCAGAATTGGTAAAAGACGCCATTCATTATTATCAACCAAACTAATAAACACAAAAGATTTAGGGGAAATCTCAATTATGCTCAGTGGAAGGAGAAGTCGTTTAATTAAGAGAGCTCACGGCAAAACATTGTTTTGTCCACTGCCCTTCACGCACCTTCGTGCTATTTTATCATCATCGCAACCAATTTTCCCAAAATCAAAAACGAAAGAACAAATAAAAGAGCCTCAGTGTGTGTAACAATTCAGATCATTGATTTAAAAAACCTCACTGAAATCCGCTAAGATAATTGTTTTTATCATCATAGGCAAAATAAGATACCAAAACCAAAAACTATTGTGGTGGGCAAAACAAGGATTTACTCAGACAGCCAAGGGTTGTATCTTCAAATTCTGGGTGAAGAGCCCATATCTGAAACTCTAGTCCACGAAATATTCGTATCATCACCATAAACCCTCTTCTAAGCCACCACTAAAAACGAAAACTTTATTCTTGAAAACTCTAGATTATTCGTTGGAAAACCTAAGCAGAAGTAAAGAGAAAGAAGCAGTTGTTGTTCTGAGTTAGAAGAAAGAAGACGAAGCCTATATATACTCAGACGGACGCTTACGGATTAGCTTTGGGAATTAGGGTTTTTCTTAGTGCGTAGCGGCTACACCGTCTCTTTTGTTTGGTTTAGGGTTTTTGTTTAGAAGATAGCCCAATAAGTACTAAATGGGCCGTTTATAAATCCCTAGTAAAGGCCCACAGAGTGTTTTTTTTTTATTTAGGCCATTTGTTAGTTTTTAAATAGTTTTTAGATTATATAGACTTTGGATTTTGGATTTTAGATTTTTGTTTTTGGTTTTTGGATTTTGCAAAAATAAAAGAAACAAAAAAAAATTAGAAAAATGAAAAAAATGTTACGTTAAGAATTTGTTTAGAAAAGATGAAAAACTCAAATAAGATGGATTTTGGATTCTCAATGAAAATTATCAAAATCTTGCAAAAACTAGATTCTCTATCTTTTAGGAAAACAATTTTCACAAAATTTTGAATGGGTAAAATTTGAATTTTTTTAAAACAAAAATAAAAAATCATTACAAAAACTAATAAACATTCTTTATTTGATTTTTCCTACCAAAAAAAAAACTAATAAAGCCTTAATTTTTTTGGCGTTGTGTGGTGAAGGGGCTAGCTGCAACAGTCTTGAACGTTAATACGTAAAATACGTTATTTATTTATTACTAGGATTGCTACACATTTTGCATGTTTCATACGTGTGTACCCTTAAGATCATGAGAAAATAATCCTGTTATCAAACTACTCATTATTTTATTTTTATAATCAACAAATTGGAGGAAAACTAGGCAGATATTTGTGAACGATATAAGATTTAGGTAAAAAAAAAATCTTTTTAGATGCCTTGAAAAGTTCAAACAGATTATTTTATTTTTCTCGTATTTCTTTCCTTTTTTTTTTTTTTTTTTTTTCGTATTTCAATTCTTATAAACAGAGCTAACGAAAAAAGCAATTATATGATAACTTCTCATTGGTGTTATCGCCTACCATTGAAACAAAGCACCAACAAAGGAAATAGAGAAGAAGAATAAAACATGAACAAATTTGAGCTTGTCTTCGTACCGTTTCCTGTGATTGGTCATCTCAGATCAACGGTAGAGATGGCGAAGCTACTAGTGGAGCGAGAAAATCGCCTCTCTATCTCCGTTATCATCCTTCCTCTCCTTTCCGGTGACGACATCAGCTCTTCCGCTTATATCGCAGCCCTCTCCGCCGAATCCAACGACCGCCTCCGCTATGTAGTTATCCCCGGAGAAGATCAACCAACCGTCGAGTTACATGTCGAGAATCATATCCCGAAGGTGAAACGTGCTGTCGCCAAACTCGTCGACGACTACTCAAAGGTACCGGACTCGCCGAGGCTAGCTGGTTTAGTCGTCGACATGTTTTGTACCTCGGTGATAGACGTGGCTAATGAGTTTAGTGTTCCGTGTTACTTGTTTTACACGTCAAATGTTGGGGTTCTCGCTCTCGGATTACATATCCAGATGTTGTACGATAAGAAGGAATACAATGCTACTGAAACTGATTTTGAAGACTCGGAAGTCGTGTTGGATGTTCCGAGTTTGACTTGTCCTTATCCGGTGAAGTGTCTTCCTTACGGTTTGGCAACGAAAGAGTGGCTTCCTATGTTTGTACATCAAGCAAGAAGATTCAGGGAGATGAAAGGTATTTTGGTAAATACTTTTGCTGATCTTGAACCTTATGCGTTGGAGTCTCTTCACTCTAGTGGTGATACTCCTCGGGCTTATCCAGTGGGACCATTGTTGCATCTCGAGAACCATGTTGACGGTTCTAAAGACGAGAAGGGTTTGGAGATTTTACGTTGGTTAGATGACCAACCACCTAAATCGGTAGTGTTTCTTTGCTTTGGAAGCGTAGGAGGCTTTCGTGAGGAACAAGCAAGAGAAATCGCTATCGCCCTTGAGCGAAGTGGTCATCGTTTCTTGTGGTCTCTCCGCCGCGCATCTCAAGATTTAGATAAGGAACTTCCTGGAGAATTCACGAATCTTGAAGAAATTCTTCCGGAAGGATTCTTTGATCGGACGAAAGATAAAGGAAAGGTGATTGGATGGGCTCCACAGATGGCGGTGCTGGCAAAGCCGGCGGTCGGAGGTTTCGTTACTCACGGCGGGTGGAATTCGATCCTTGAGAGTCTTTGGTTCGGTGTTCCTATAGCGCCATGGCCGTTATACGCAGAGCAAAAATTCAACGCTTTCATGATGGCGGAGGAGCTTGGTTTGGCGGTGAAGATAAGGAAGTGTTGGCGAGGCGATCAGTTGGTGGGAGCGGCGTCGGTCACGGTGATGGCGGAGGAGATAGAGAGAGGAATCAGATGTTTGATGGAGCAAGATAGTGACGTGAGGAAAAGAGTGAAGAAGATGAGTGAGAAATGCCACGTGGCGTTAAAAGATGGTGGATCGTCTCAATCTGCTTTGAAAATATTTATTCAAGACGTTACAAAGAATATTGCTTGAGAAGTAAACCGGAGCAAGTAACGCTCTTGGATGTTCTTGTTGGGTCTGGTCAAAGAAAGAAGAATAAGTCTTCCCGTAGTTGTCGGAGTTAGTGGTTTGTTCTGTTTTTGATCATTGCCAAATCATGTGAACGAGTCAGTGACATCACTAGATTGTAGGAGTTAGTTGCTTAGGAGTTAGGAGTTAGTGTTATTTGCTTCCATCGTTGTTAAGTCTCCCGTATATAAAGGAGCAAGTTGTAATCGTTTCTATTATCAAGTACTAAACAGAAAAGCTTTGATCAATTGTCTCTGTGTGTATAACTGATTTTAAGAGTTCTGTTGTGTCCCTCAGATATATATAATGACTAGAAATGGCCATTTGCATGTCTCTTTGAGTGATCATGGGCAAATAATATTTATTGAGTTTGTGACTACGAGTTTTTCTAATATCAAACTGTTCACTAATAGCAAATAATGTTGAGACTTCAGAGTAATGGTATTTTGTTTGTCCATAAACTGCGGTATTGGAAAAAAAAAACTTATCATTCTTGAAAAATGTAGCTGCGATCTCTTCAAGTTAGTTTATTGACTTGTTTCAACTATTGTGATGCTATTTTTAATTATTTTTTAGCAGAGATACAATTTTTAATTTTGTATGATGTGTAATTCGATAAAACTATACTGTCTTATTATATCTCGACCAACTAAAAGTATTCTTTAATCAATAATAATGTTCGTAATTAAATATCTAATTTCTTACCACGTTTTGTATGCAATCTATCTACTAACATTCAAAACTAAACGCGATCTACCTTATTGGACTCCATAAGTAATTTTGTTTATTTACTCCAATAACTAGCAAATTTCATGTTTAAAAAAAAATAGATTAGGATCCTGATTAATCGATAAATGTTTATTTTATAAAAGTTTAGTAAAATCAGATATACTAGAATTTAATTCGCGGTATACCGCGATGCTATATTTTTTAAAAAATATAATGTTATTTTTTTAAAGATGAACTGAAGATATATCATATTAATTTGTATTTTTAAATGTAATTATCTATCAATGTATTATTTAGTGTATGATTACTATTGTTTAGGTTTCAATTTTTTAAGTATAGATACGAAAACATACATTTTTTTTAAGTAGCGATGTATGGTGGATTTTTAAAATTTTGAATATTTTACTCCGCACTATACCGTGGGTCGGTTTTTTTATAACTAAAAATTTTAAGTTGTATTTGTTTGTTAATATTGTTTCTTTTGTTTTGTGTTTAAGATTGTATAATTGTATTTTGATTGTTAATTTTAGGATTTCATTCGTGATATACCGTTATTTATTAATATCGACCCAAACCCGTTATTCCATATAAACCCGTCTATATTATCCCATTAACTAAATTATTAGTGTTATAAAATCCAAGAAAATAAATTATTATTGTTATAAAATCCAATAATTTTAGGATCTCACCTGTGATATACCGTTCTTTAAATGATTTTAAATTTATACTACTAATATATATTTTAAATTTATCATATAAAATATATGATTTCAAGTTTTTGTGTTTTTATTTTATTTAAATAAAGCAACGGCTTAAATGATGATAAATATAGTTCTTTTCTTGTATGTGTATATGATTTTTCTATGTGAATATTTTGATTATTATAAATTAGTATTTTGATTGCTATGCAAAATGTTAATATAAATATTTTGCTATAAATTTTTTTTGAAGATATATGAAAAGATTGTGTAGAGATTTTTAGAAACAAATTAGGCAAGATATTGTTTGGTTAATATCTTTTATTTAAATTTTGTAAATATAAATAATAAATGTTAATGACATGAACTCGTAAATAAGGTAGAACTCCAGAATTTATTTCATAAATGTATCCAAATATATATATATATATATATATAGAGAGATATAAACATATAATTTAGTATATGTAAATATGATTTTAGTTTAGGTTTCCTATTTTTTCAAGAAAAAAAATTAAATCTTTTCTGACATATAGTATCTGATTAGAGTCGTGCTTATATTTGGTATTAGCAAAAGCATTTGCCTAAAACCACCAATTTTGTTTTTTTGATTTTAGGCCATATTTGTTTTGTACTATTAGGCCACATTATTTTGCCTTAAGATTTTTTTTTCACTTAAGATTTTGTTTTTTTACTTATTTTTGTCTTAAACCACCATATACTTCAACACGGCACTGTATCTGATAGACTTGACACGTGTCGCGATCACGAGAGTTAACAATTTTAAAAACTTTACTTTATATGATAAAATAGATAGATCTTTCATATTAATTTAGATATAAATGATTTGATATATGTTGTGAACTGTGTCTTTCATTAATAGTATAAGGGATATATATACAAGGATAATAGCAGGATACAGAGAATAAGGTAAAACCCTAATGGGCCATGGGCCGGTTATGGAGTCCATCCATATGGTTTATAACAATATAAAATTAATTAAAATTTTAATAATTATTTAATACTATAATAAAAGATAGCTTAATCATTCACAGTTAATCTTATAAACTAATACTATTTGTTAACACGTCAAGGAGATAGATGCCGAAAGGGGACTGATTTTTCTAATGGGCCTCAATCATTCAGCCCAACAAACGGAGGTAATTAAACGAATGAAGCCGAAACAGTTTACGTGCTTAGAGCATGAATATCGGTATATCTTAGACCAAATCTTAGCCAAATCTTAACATTAAAAACTATTATAATTAATCAAACCAACTAAGATTGTATCTTAACTAAGATATTTTTCTTATGTTAAGAAGCACACATGTGTCGCGATATGAGTGGGAGAAGAAAAAACAAAACAAGAAAAAAAGTCAGTTGCTTCGTTTTTTTCCGAAGAATTGGATTGGGAGTGGAAGAATTGCTCTACCTCTTGAAAAGGACAATATACACGTGCCTCTGGAAAACCAGAAATTAAGTTTAAAACATTTGTGTTTTTATGTTATTTATTGTATCTCATGTATGTTTTAATTTTTTTAATTTGCAACAATTATTAAATTTTTTATAATTATAAATTTTATTTTTTTATTAATATTTTTTTTTAAGAACCACATGTTAAGAATCTACCATTAATCACACAAAAATCTTAACCCAAAAATACTATATCTTAACTATCACTTTTACAAATATATTACTTAAATATTTCTAAGATTTATTTCTAAGATACTACCAATAATTATGCTCTTATTATCACTAGCGAGCGTTCCTACCAAAAAAAAAAATCACTAGCGAGCGTTATCGCTTCGTAGATTCAGACAAAAGCACCAAAAAGAGAAAAAGAGCTTGTCTTCATCCCCGAAAAAGAGAAGGATAAACATGAAATTTGAGCTTGTCTTCATCCCCTATCCTGGAATCGGTCATCTCCGATCAACGGTGGAGATGGCAAAGCTACTAGTGGACCGTGAAACCAGTCTCTCTATCTCCGTAATCATCCTTCCTTTCATGTCCGAAGGTGAAGTCGGTGCTTCCGATTACATCGCAGCCCTCTCCGCCTCATCAAGCGACCGTCTCCGCTATGAAGTGATCTCCGCAGAAGATCAACCAACCGCAGAGATGACGACTATGGAAATCCATATCAAGAACCAGGTGCCAAAGGTGAGACACGCCGTTGAAAAACTCGTCGAAGGCTACTCTACTAAACCGAACTCGCCCAGGATCTTCGGGTTTGTCCTCGACATGTTTTGCACATCGATGGTAGATCTGGCGAAAGAGTTTAGTGTTCCTAGTTACTTGTTTTACACGTCGAGCGCCGGGATTCTCTCACTTGCCTATCATGTTCAGATGTTGTACGATGAGAACAAGTACGATGTTAGTGAAAGTGATTATGCCGACTCAGAAGCTGTGTTGGACATTCCGAGTTTAACTCGTCCTTATCCGGTGAAGTGTCTTCCTCACGCTCTCGCATCTAAAATGTGGCTCCCAATGTTTGTAAATCAAGCGAGAAAGTTTAGAGAGATGAAAGGTATTTTGGTAAATACTGTTGCTGAGCTTGAACCTCATGTGTTGAAGTTTCTTTCGAGTAGTGATACTCCTCCTGTTTATCCTGTTGGACCATTGTTGCATCTCGAGAACCAAGTTGATGATTCCAAGGATGAGAAACGATCGGAGATTTTACGGTGGTTAGATGAGCAACCACCTAGTTCGGTTGTGTTTCTTTGCTTTGGGAGCATGGGAGGCTTCAATAAGGAACAAGTAAGAGAAATCGCAATAGCCCTAGAGCGAAGTGGCCACCGGTTTCTCTGGTCTCTCCGTCGCGCATCTCCGAATATATTTAAAGAACCTCCAAGAGAGTTTACAAATCTAGAGGAAGTTCTCCCGGAAGGATTCTTTGAAAGAACAAAGGAGAAAGGAAAAGTGATTGGATGGGCTCCACAGGTGGCGGTGCTTGCGAATCCGGCTATAGGAGGTTTCGTCACTCACTGTGGATGGAATTCGACGCTAGAGAGTCTCTGGTTCGGTGTTCCAACAGCTGCATGGCCGTTATACGCAGAACAGAAGTTCAACGCTTTCTTGATGGTGGAGGAGCTTGGATTAGCGGTGGAGATAAGGAAGTATTGGCGAGGTGATCATTTAGCGGGAGTGCCGACAGTTACGGTGACGGCGGATGAGATAGAGAAAGCAATCATGTGTCTAATGGAGCAAGATAGTGACGTGAGAAAAAGAGTGAAGGAGATGAGTGAGAAATGCCACGTGGCTTTAATGGACGGTGGATCGTCGCGGATTGGGTTGCAAAAGTTTATTGAAGACGTTACGAAGAATATCGTTTCACTAGATAAGGAATTTGTGCCGGTACGCTCTTAAATGATAGGCCCGAATAGAAGGCCGAATAAGACAATGTGATATCTTTGTACTTGTACTTTAAAACAGAACCTCATTTACTACTTTGAGCCTTGAGGTAACAAGAGAATAAATATAAAATGGTTGTAAGAAAGCTGTCAGAATATTCAAACCTTGAATGATTGTCTCAATGATTAGGGTAACGTGAAGATTTGAACTAACGGTCCATAAATTTCTAATGTTGAATGGAAAAAATATCTACCTCCAACTCCAACCATGAAAAGACTTATCGACAATAGAACAAATTAGAAAAAGAAATGTATGAATAAGCGAACAAGTTAAACATGACTTCAAAAACGTAACATCAATTCACATTTTGATATATAGAGTAACAAACTTATATTCTTATCGCCTTTAAGTTATCTTTCTCTAGAACTCAAAATAGCACACCTAAATATAAGAAATGAAAATTGAGCTAATATTGATTCCTTCTCCCGCGATCAGTCATCTCATGTCTACGGTGGAGATGGCGGAGCGACTAGTTGATCTAAACGACCACCTCTCTATCACCGTAATCATCATATCTTTCAATTCTCAAAGCACCTCGATGATCGCCTCTCTCACCACCGCATCCAATAAACGAATCCGCTACGAAATAATCTCTGGAGGAGATCAACAACCCACAGAGCTCAAAGCAACAGATTCCCACATCCAAAGTCTAAAGCCACTGGTGAGAGGTGCTGTTGCGAAATTCGTAGATCCGACTCGACCAGACTTGCCTCGTCTTGCGGGATTCGTCGTCGACATGTACTGCACGTCGATGATCGATGTCGCTGACGAATTTGGAGTCCCTAGTTACTTGTTTTACACCTCCAATGCTGGATTTCTCGGACTTTTGCTTCACATTCAATTCATGTATGACTCAGAGTCACAGGATACCTACGACATGAGTGGATTAGAAGACTCGGACGCAGAGTTGGTGGTTCCGAGTTTGATTAATCCTTATCCGTTGAAATGTGTCTTCCTTAATCCTTACATTTTCAAATCAAAAGAGTGGCTCACTTTTTTTGTAACTCAAGCGAGAAGATTTAGAGAGACTAAGGGCATTTTGGTAAATACGGTTCCTGACTTGGAGCCTCAAGCGTTGAAGTTTCTCTCCAATGGTAACACTCCACGAGCTTACCCTGCAGGACCACTGTTGCATCTCAAAAACGATGCTTTGTTAGAATTTGTGTCCATGATTAAATCTTGTAATATCATATATGTTATAGTTTGTATGTGAAGTCAACGGATGTCATGTGCTACGTGTTACTTACTACGAAAGGGTGTGAGTAAGACACGTAACTTGTCGGAAAAGTTACAACTCTTACCAACGGTTACTTAGAGTAGTTAGTTATGTACACATCTATATAAGTGTGTATGTTGTCTTATGTAAAAACTGTCGAGAATAATAAAGAAGTTTTTCCACTTTTCAATTCTTTGTTTTCTCTACCATGCTCTGTATTTGAAGCAATGGCTTCTACAATTATACAAGAGCAAAAACACCAACATGCTTGTGGACGACAAGCAATCGGAGATTTTACAGTGGTTGGACGAGCAACCGCCTAGATCGGTAGTGTTCCTCTGCTTCGGGAGCATGGGAGGCTTAAGTGAGGAACAAGCAAGAGAAATCGCCGTAGCTCTGGATCGAAGCGGCCACCGGTTTCTCTGGTCTCTCCGCCGTGCATCTCCGAATATAATGAAAGAGCCTCCCGGAGAATTCACTAACCTAGACGAGATTCTCCCGGAAGGGTTTCTTGATCGGACGGAGGAGAGGGGAAAGGTGATCGGATGGGCACCACAAGTGGCCGTGTTGGCGAAGCCGAAGATCGGAGGTTTTGTTTCCCACGGCGGATGGAATTCAACGTTGGAGAGTTTATGGTTTGGTGTTCCGATGGCGATTTGGCCGCTTTACGCCGAACAGAAGTTTAACGCTTTTGAGATGGTGGAGGAGCTTGGATTGGCGGTGGAGATCAAGAATCACTGGCGAGGAGATCTTTTGTTGGGGAGGTCGGAGATGGAGATTGTGACGGCGGAGGAGATAGAGACGTGGCTTTAATGGAACAAGATAGTGACGTGAGGAAGAGAGTGAATGAGATTGGCGAGAAATGCCACGTGGCTTTAATGGATGGTGGATCGTCTGAAATTGCTTTGAAAGAATTTATTCAAGACGTAACGGAGAATTGCAATTTCTAACGTTTTGGGATTATGTTGTATAATAGGCCCGAATACATGCTTATAATGGGCCATTGTCAAGTTGTTTTATTTCTGTGAACAATGTATTATTCAAGGTTTGTGTTCAATAAGAACATGAACTTCTATTATACATTAGTGACTTTGTGTGAAAATAATGAAAAGTTCTATGCCTGATTCAAGGAGACACCAAAGTTTCTTACAGTTTCAAACTCATTTACCTTGGATTAGAAGGCAGGATACAGAATAATAAATTATTGTAAATTTAGAATGATTCACATATTAATTGAACCACATCATTCTTGGGTGCATAAACACAAATCAAACAACAACAAAATTAAATTAACAACATATTTTTCCTTCCGAAAGTCACACAAAACAACAATGACCATAACACACCACTTTCCGACCAAGATACCTAACTTCCGGCGACAGAACACCGTGTCCTGATCACACCGGCTGAGCCCGTCTTCACTTTGACTCTCCCCATCTTCTCCATTGACTTAGCAAAAGCTTCGTAAAACTTTTGTTCAGGACCGTTGACCAAATTGTTGATCACCTTCAACGTCGCTGAGTTCGTTGTTAATGCAGAATCAGACTGAAACAAGCCTCTTCTCTTCAGGACAAGCCTATAATAACTGAGATCGAAGGTTCTGCTACTACCGGGATCCATCTCGAGGATAGTGGTGTTGTCGTTAAGGCTCTTACATTTGTTAGCCTTTAGATTTGCTGCGTACTCGCTATCGAGAGATGGATCTTGTTTGACTGTAGTCGAGAAGTTGTAGAGACGAGTATTCATGGAAGAACAATGCGAGACACCAATCGTGTGAGCCCCTAAACAACGGGTACGAGTAACGGATAGTAAAATTTAAGTTGGATATAAGTTGTATCGATATAATGTCTCAAAAAGGACAACCGTGACTAAACTGCTATCAACCGGTTAATGAACTTACCGGAGAGCAGAACAAGATCTTTGAGATTAAGGCCTTGGTTTTTGAAAAGTCGCTGTAAAGTCGTGAAATTACTCGTTGGCGGTGGAATGTTGTTCGTAGCCTCCGTCACATTTGAGATCCTACCGTCTCTTCTACCCGTTGGAACATTCCATGAAGGACCTCCCTGTCAAATTTTAGATAATAATTTCAATTAATTTGCTTAATCTACGAATTGAGTTGCGAGTTTATAATATGTAACACTTACGGTGGCAACAACTGCGTCTCTAGCGGTCAAAGCGATGATATCAGCGCAAGAAACAGTCTTAGGACACACTTTTTCAAGAAGAGCCTTAATCCTTTCAACGAAACCGAATCCTCTAAGTGTTAGATTCGGTGGTGCATCTCTCTCTGCGTTCCCAGATGTTGAATTTATCAACACCGATCCATCACATCCCTTTTTTAAAAAACCATTGTCGATATTGAAAAAAATGCAATAAATCTCAAATATTCTGCTCTAGCTCAAATTTACCATTTTCATTAAATAGTTCAAATGAAGTGAAACATTGAACTAAATGATATTAATGTATGAATATTAATTTTTATATATGCACATATAAGACGAACATATCTAAACACTTGCAAGTAAGTATATATAAATATGTGGATTAGAGATTAGATAAATACCCTAACGAAGCAATCATGGAAGTGCATCCTGATGAGAGGAGCTGCAAGGGAAGGACCATTAGGGATATGATTTTGAATATGGTCAGAAATGATTTTCTCTGCGTTTGGACAGCTCTTCGCATAGAAATTCATTTGAAGTTGAGCCTCTGATGATCCCAACATTCCAATTAGGACCGTCACTGCAACCGCAACCGCAATATTCAATTGCTTCATCGTCGTCATTGAGTTACCTTGATTTTGGTTCTCAATACTCTTCTTTGGTTTTGTGTCACTGAAGAGAGACAGGATGTAGAGCAATAATGGAGGGGGTCTTTTATAAGAGGATTGTTCATTATGGTGAAAGTAAGCATATATATTTTTCTTTAATAAAACAATAAAAGAAGTGAAACAGAAATGGAAAAAAAAAAGGCCGAACAAAATTTTGTGCTTTTAACTAAATATTTTTTGGGTCAATTTTGTGTTTTTTAGTTAATTTGTTGATGGTAAAGATTTATTTCTGAAGAAAAATAAAAAGTCGAAATATCAAAAGTGATACGCGAACAAAAAAAAAAATTGTTTATAGTTTATAGCTTATACCCTTATTAGCTCCATGATTAGCTTTTTTTAAAAAAATTTAATTTTAGGTCATCTAAATGAAGTAAAGAACTAAAGGTATGTAGAGTTTATTTCTATAGGGAAGAAAGCAAAAGGATAAATTTTATAGAAGTAGTAGGTCTTAAATAATTATTATCACATGTGAGCAGTATGTTAATAATGTCTTTTATCATTAAATAAATATATATTTTATTAAATTATTATTTTAGAAAAAGACGTTAATTGCTTTTAACATGCACCCATCAAGGTATCATCTACATAATTGTGCGTTTTCTCTTCGGTCTATTTATAATTGTGTTTATTAAAAACGGTAGATAGAAAGAAGAAAAGAAAGAGAAAACGGTAAGATAGTTAAGACCACACAAGTGAAAAACAATTTTTAAAAAACTGTTAATAGATTTGATATACACACATGTATATGGAAAGCACCTAGAAATTTAAGATGTCAAATGAAGTTAAAATTAACTTTATTTACTAAACAAACAAAAAAAAAAGTCAAAATTAACTACATACATGAGAAATCGCTAAAATTTAGACATTTCTAGAATAAAATTCATTAAAAATATACATAGTTAGACTAAAAATCTAATTTACAGCCTACAATTTCAATTATAATTAGTCACGTTGAATACTTTTTCTTATATACCCAGTTATTTGGGGCTTTTAGTCATACTATCCAGATACTGAGAGACAAGAGCAAGTAAATTTATTCACCGTGAACACTTTGAATAGTAAAAAGACCTTACTTTTCCACATGTTTTATTCTGGATGTTGGGTTGAAAATTGATAGCACATCAACTATTAAATCAAGAAGTAAAATGTTAAACAACACGCAAAAGTAGTAATAGTAGATGATAGACCCCAATAATGGCGAGTGACGGAAGTGAAAGGAAAAGAAGTCTAAACATATTGTCCCACAACTTGCATAAAGCAAAATTGAAGGTAAAATGTTCAATCAAATTGAATCGAATTAGCTGATCCGGACTGTATAAAAATCTAGTTCGATTAAATTCGGTTTCTTAATAGTAATTACCATGCATTAACGAACTTCATTAGCATAATTTAAATTGTAGACCAATGTAATCATCAAACTGAAGGAAATAAGCCAAGTTAGTACTGTTAATTAGCAATGTAGCTTTACAAAGCCTTAAACTACACAAAATTAAAACCACATATTTATATTAGAGACCCACTTTTTTATTTTTGTCGTCTTATACACCCACTTATTAAACTAACCTTTTTAAAAATAGTATTACTCTAACGGCCATATTTTTTATATTTTACTTTTGACTCTCTAAGATCATATTTAACGGGAGAACACATAAGATGGTCTAAGGGTTAAAAAAATTGTAAATAATGTAAATAGTGTGTTAGAACACTAGGGAGAGATCTTCCGCAAGATCAGGTTTTAGAGTGATCTTGCTCCACGTGGCAAACCCTGAGTGGAAGAGTTTCATTTTTCAGTTTTGGTAACTAGAGTTTGCGTCTCTTTCTCTCTCCATGTGGGACCACTTTTAATATTATTTTAATAATTTAATTTATTAAGATATATTCTTAAGGCATATGCCCTAATATGTGTTGTCTGTGAAAATATCTATGGTCGCTAGCTACTTGATCAGTAATGTCATTCCAAGACTTTTAGACTTTATATTATAGAACTAGGAAATTTAATTTTTTATATCGGATAATGGTAACTTGATTAAATCATCCGATATCAACCAGTATATTTCTTGCTCGGAAGCTCAATGCTGCTAGGCAGCTGTAAGAAGAAAACGCGTCAAGAAGATATATGATCGGATCAGAACATTTCCAGCATCGTTTAATATTTTAATCTTCAAAGACACTTTTTCACTTTGATTTAATGAACAATAGATTTGGCAAAAGACAAAAAAAAAGAAAAAATAAAAAAAAGACCAATGAAAAGGAAAGATACCGACGCATAATTACCTAAACCCACTAACAAATTCTTTTCCACTTACACAAATACGTTTACGAATTTTTTTAAAATCGAATATATACGGTATAATAAAATAGTACGTAATAGCCAAAAATGTAAAGAAATTTTCACGTTTATGATGAAAAAAAAAATTTTCTCTCAGCTTTTGGCAAACTGAGATTTGATTCTCATGGATTGACAGTTAAGGTTTTTTATGACGAAAATATCCCTAATGAGTTAAACCAAACGGTACTGTTGATTTCGGTTTAGTTACTTTTTATTTGTTTTACGGTTTGGTGTTGAATTAAAAAAAAAACAATTACGAAGAAACCAAGAAGAAATCGAAGATTACGTTACACAGAAGCGTCACTCAAGCATCGATTCTCACTTCAGAAGCGGAACCAGAACCGGAAGTGTCCGGAATCGTTCGGAATCGCGTTCTTAAAAAGCAGAATTTGGAAGCGTAGAGGAAGCGAACGCTTCTGATTTGGAAGCGTATTTAAATGTTTTGGAAGCGTCCAAAGATATGGCCAAAACACTTGACTAAATCTTTTTAGTAGGTAGTTTAATTCTGAGTAAACTCTGTGATAATATGAGAACTGGAGTTTGAATTAGAAAATAAACAGTGTTTATCAGAACGAAAGGCTATGCGGCGAAGGGCTGCAAGAAGAAACGAAGAAGAAACAGTGCACGTGTCTCAGGCTGATTGTTAAACAATTTTATATTGACAATTACATGTTGAGATTTCTTGGCTCATTTGGCATTAAGTGCCCCATGTTATGTCTTGAGCGCCCAGTTCGATGCCTCTCTATGAACTTTCTTTTTGCTTTAATTCTTTTTTTGTGTACACTTTCTTTTATTTGTCCACGTCCTCTTTTGGTGCCTTCCAATTCCTACATGTTTTTTTCTTGTATAAAACAATGTTCTTTCAGTTATATAACTGAAAAGTAACTAATTTTAATTTTACCCTAAAGTATTAATACCTAT